AAGTCCTGATGCCGTCGGCATTCACACTGCCTTATCCCCTCCCCACGCAGGGATAGGTAGGCCCACCACCTGTTCTTGTCTACAGCCTTCAGACTTGCTCTCCTTGAGGTTGTCACTTCCCCAAAAGGAAATATCTTGAAAGCCCCTTCTTGACGGAGGCCACCCTTTGCTGAGGTTGCTAACCTTCCTGCTTGCTGCCTCCTGGCATCCTGTTTCTCTGCTTATTTTGCCCTTTTCTGACAGTTTCTGCAGAGCTCTTGTTGGACTCTCTCTTTCCCTGAATTACAGATTTTAGAGTGCACTGGAGTCCAACTGCTTGGGTTCGAATCCCAGCTTCTACCACTTACTTGCTCTTGTGAGGGTATTGAGACAGCTGAGGAATTTGTATAGAGACTTACTGGTCATTTTGTTTGACGTGGTCATGGCATGGCAGTTATTATTTTTTAATTAAGAAATATTGATGTCTAGGATTTCCTTTAAAATATTTCAACTTAAAAAAATGGAGGAAGAGGGTTTGGTGAAATGAGATTGGCAGTATGGTAATAATTGTCTGAGCTGGGTGACAGATACATTATACATTATCTGTATGCGGCTATATTATACATAATATGGTTAATTCTACTAGTCTCTCAATCTTTTGGTAAGTTTAGAAGTTCCCCAACTAAAAAGTGTAAGGGTCTAAAATGCGTAAAATGAAAACGGCTTTATGAATTACTTGGATGGGGGTAACATGGGGAAGAGTTAGCTGACTACATAGAAACGTTACTGGGGAGAGACAGGAGGGAGTTTGCATTGAGCCGCCCACAGTTTACGGGGGTTCATGAGTGTCGCAGAGAGAGTGGAAGACCAGGCCCCAAATAGAATATACGTTTGGTGGTGCAAAACGATTGCCTTCTGACCTGGATTCTGCTCTGCAGGCCCTGCAAAGACCCCTGTAACCCTGGTCAGCTAACCCAGTCAACTAATGCTGGGTTAGCATTAGCTGGCTCCAGCGCAAGCCAGTCGGGTAAATGGAAGGTTACAAGGAATGGACAATACCATCAAATTATTCCATAGCATTGTTGTACCTGAGTTCATGTGCTTTGAGCGGAGAAATTATATCCAGTTGGTAAATTTGGAAAAAAACCCTCAAATCAGCAAAGTAAAGACAATTTTCCTTGTTTCTCTTGCATATTTTGGACCATTTGGCTTTTGTTTTCATTTTTCTGGACTGAGTCACAAGTTGAGTCAGAGTTTGCAGTTCTAAATATGACTCAACAGAGTCAGCTTTTTCAAATGCAAATGATTATCGTGGACTTAAATAGCAAAGATTTGAAAAAGAAAAAAAGAGTCATTTCTGTAAGTGATTCAGAGTAGATGTAAGTCATAATTTCTTACCCTGTAATTTTATCTTCTGTGAGAAAAGTTGTCTACCAAAGGCTATTTTGTTAGATTTCTTTGACTTCCTGTTCTCAGATAAACCAAGAACAGCCTATTTCTGGTTTTGCTGAAGCCTTTTAAAAATTCTTGATGATTTAAGAAATACAAAAATACAGCAAAGTAGAGAGGTTCAATCTAGTTTACAGTAAAGGATAAGGAGGAAGATGAGGTCATCAGAGGAAGGTAGATAAGACTTGCTGGGAGATTCAGCTGTGAGACATTGAATCTGGATTTGGGATTAATAGGATTGATTGTGAAGTAGAGGTAGGCTGGTATGGACATTATGGGACTTGGGGTGAGTGGATGCTTTTATCCAATTCTTTCTTTTTTTGTTATTGAGATGAACTCGCTCCCTTGCTCAGGATGGAGTGCAGTGCATCTTTGCTCACTGCAATCTCTGCCTCCTGGGTTCAAGTGATTCTCCTGTCTCAAACTCCCAAGTAGCTGGGATTATATGCGCCCACCATCACACCCAACTAATTTTTGTATTTCTAGTAGAGATGAGGTTTCACCATGTTGGCCAGGCTGGTCTCGAACTCCTGACCTCAGATGATCTGCCCTCCTTGGCCTCCCAAAGTGCTGGGATTGCAGACGTGAGCCACCGTGACTGGCTCTTCTGCCTAGTCTTTATCATTTTGCCTTTGCTGTCCTAACTCAGCAGCGTCAGTCCTTCCTTACACATCCCCTGCCATCAAGCTGCTGTCATCCTTTTATTTTTTATCCTTTTATTTTAAAAGGAAATTAAATATTTAAATTCCTTTTAAATAAATAAAGATGAATATGACATCTTTTTGATTATACTGGTATTTATTTTGGAATTGCTCCTTTAAGTGCTCTGATCACAAATCTGCATATCTTGAGCGGTCTGTACTTAATTCTATATTCCAATGAGGGGAAAATCAAAATTGTGTCTCTCTCTTTTTCTCTCTCTGATAGAAAGAGCCTTGTTTTTCTTCCCTTTTCTTTTTCTTTATTGTGGTATAACTGATATATATATATAACATAATTTTTGCCATTTTAATGATTTTAAGTGTGCGGTTCTTACTGTAATTATAGACAATTACAGAATTGTCTGTAATTGGTAGAATTTCAATTTCTCAAATAGCAAGACAAACTCAAATATGCATTACCTTAACGCCATACACATTCGAATTCTCAAAATCCAAGTATGTTTGAGAAAATATCTAGGGTACACCGAGAAAAATAGGAATTAAATACATAATTACTGGAAAAATATGTCAGCTATCACACATTTAAATCCTGCCTAGAAATGTCAAATGGAAATTTTTCTATTGATTTGTATATATTTTCAGATTATCTGGGTTTTTTGAGCAAATTCGTGAAAGACATCTTTGGTTTACAACCATACCACACTTTAAATGTCATTTATTTCCACTTAAAGCCTATGTTTTACATTATATTTACATGAAGCATTAGCAATTTGGCTTTAGTGTAGCTGTCCAAACTCTTGTATGGAAGTCAAAATGCCATGCCCCAAATGCTAAAAGTTTTATTCTGAAGTAACTATATTTAATTAGAAAACTCAGAAAACGACAATGTGGAGAATTAAACATGAAAATTTCAAGTTTTATTAAATAATTGACTTTATGTTTTGAAATTTAGTGTGTTTGAATATTGATGCAAAATTTTCAGATTTAGAATGTGTTTAGAAAAACAATGCAACTTGTAAACGATTTTTTATCACAGAGGATGGGGGAAGAGATAGTTGGCTTGACTTACTTTTTCAGAATGGCGATTTTTGATATTAGGCAAATTTTAAACTGACACTTTCTGTTTCTTTCCTTTTTTGAAGATCCTAGTATCTTAATTACCTCATGGTTTTTTTTTTGTTTTTTTTTTCCTGAGATAGATTCTTGCTGTGTCACCCAGACTGGAGTGCAGTGGTGTGATCTTGGCTTACTGCAACCTCCTCCTTCCAGGTTCAAGTGATTCTCATGCCTCGGCCTCCCAAGTAGCTGGGATTACAGGCATGTGCCACCACGCCCAGCTAATTTTTGTATTTTTAGTAGAGATGAGGGTTTTGCCATGTTGGCTAGGCTGGTCTCGAACTCCTGGCCTCAAGTGATCTGCCCACCTTGGCTTCTCAAAGTGCTGGGATTACCTTGTGGCTTTTGGACTAGCATTCTTACTTTAAAGTTAAATTTCTTTTAGGGAGCTTCTAACTCTACTGTGTAATAGTACTGAAATGGTGGTGGCACGGCATTATTTATTTAAAGATAGTTTAATTCACGTAATTTTTAGCTTCCAACAAATATATTCACACCATTGTTTTGTCTTTCTGTCACCAAACACCAAATGTATTAACACAAAATATTCACATACCATCTTTCACATTTTACCAGTAAGAGATGAATGATTTCATCAAGTATTTTTGAATAGTTTGGAGTGTGCCTTTCCAAACAGATAATTATTTTGGAGACCCTCAAATCTCTGAACATCATTTTTATTTCCGGAAACTTTAAAGAATATGTGATCATAACACTTCAAACTCCTTTGGAAGGAAAATATTCTTTACATGTAGACAGAAGTTATGTCTCATGTAAACTACAGATTTACATAATTTGGCTATCCAGAGCTGACTACATGGATAGGATGCTTGATTTTAAGCACAAATAGTTTTATCTGATTTGCCTTGTGATGTAAGTTACTCTGAAGACAGAATAACAACATTTTAATAATTCCTAGTTATTAAAAAATTAAAGTTCTTACAGTAAAGGGTTAATTTTCATATAGTCAGCTGTTCCCAGGGAAGAGATTTTTTTTGGATTTGGGGTGTGTGTGTGTGTGTGTGTGTGTGTGTGTGTGTGTGTGTGTGGTTTTACCTCATTTTATTTAATTGAGGTGAAATTGACATAATATGAAATTAACCAATTTAGCCAGACATGGTGGCTCAGGCCTATAGTAATCCCAGCACTTTGTGAGGCAGAGGCAAGTGAATCGCTTGAGCTCAGGAGTAGAGACCAGCCTGGGCAACATGGTGAAACCCTGTCTCTACAAAAAATATAAAAATTGGCGGTGCATGCCTGTAGTCCCAGCTACTCAGGAGGCTGAAACAGGAGGATCGCTTGAACCTGGGAAGGGTTCAGTGAGCCTAGATGGTGCCACTGTACTCCAGCCTGGGCAACAGAGACCCTGACTAAAAAAAAAAAAAAAATTTAAAAATGAACGATCCAGTGGCATTTTGTACATTCACAATGTTGTGCAATCATCATCTTTGTCTAGTTTCAAAACATTTTCATGTGCTTTTGCTGGGCATAGTGGCTCATGCCTGTGATCCCAGCACTTTGGGAGGCCAAGGTGGGAGGATCACCTGAGCTCAGGAGTTTGAGACCAGCCCAGCCAACATGGCAAAACCCCGTCTCTATTAGAAATACAAAAATTAGCCGGGTGTGGTGGTGGGTGGTTGTAATCCTTGCCACGCTGGAGGCTGAGACAGGAGAATCACTTGAACCTGGGAGGCAAAGGTTGCAGTGAGATTGTTGCAGAGCGATTGTGCCATTGCACTCCAGCCTGGGCAACAAGAGTGAAACTCCATCTCAAAAACAAACACCAAGAGAACAGCCCAAGATGGACAACTTCGATGATCGTGTGTCGGATGAGAAGGTACGCATAGCTGCTAAGTTCGTCACTCATGCACCCCCAGGGGAATTTAATGAAGTATTTAATGATGTTCGGCTACTACTTAACAATGACAATCTCCTCAGGGAAGGGGCAGCACATGCATTTGCCTAGTATAACATGGATCAGTTCACGCCAATGAAGATAGAAGGATATGAAGATCAGGTCTTAATTACAGAGGACAGTGACCTGGGTAAAAGCAGATTTCTAGATCCAAGAAACAAAATTTCCTTTAAATTTGATCACCTACAGAAAGAAGCAAGTGACCCCCAGCCAGAAGAAGTTGATGGAGGTGTGAACTCTTGGAGAGAATCTTGTGATAGTGCTTTCAGAGCCTGTGTGAAAGACCATTATTCCAACAGCTTCTGTACTGTTTATGCTAAAACTATCAATGGGCAACAGACTATTATTACATGTATTGAAAGCCACCAGTTTCAGCCTAAAAACTTCTGGAATGGTCCTTGGAGATCGGAGTGGAAGTTCACCATCACACCACCTACAGCCCAGGTGGTTGGAGTGCTTAAGACTCAGGTTCACTATTATGATGATGGCAATGTTCAGTTGGTTAGTCATAAAGATGTATAGGATTCACTAACCGTTTTGAATGAAGCCCAAACTGCCAAGGAGTTTATTAAAATCATAGAGAATGCAGAAAATGAGTATCAGACAGCAATTAGTGAAAAGCATCAAACAAAGTCGGATACCACATGCAAGGCCTTGGCGCCAGCAGCTTCCAGTTACCCCCACCACAATTGCCTGGAACAAAATACTTGGCTACAAGATTGGCAAATAAATGCAGAATGCTTAAAGGCTGAATGTAGACTTCTCCAGTATGTGGAAAGACAAGGATTCAATGTGTGGTCATATGATAAATAAGTGATTTATAAACAAGAGTGATATTTTGCTAGGGCTTTCAAAGTTAACTGGTTTTCTAGCCTCATGGAATACTGCGGAACCTATAGTGTTGCGTTGATTCTTTTGTGTTTTCTGCGTTATAATTTTTGGTTATTGCTGTATCTATGTGTAAATCTTTTTTGTTTGTTTGTTTGTTAATTCTGCCACATTTAATATTGGAGAGAGAAAGATCTATCCTAGAGACATTTTACTGTTTAAAAAAGTTTCCTAGCCATGAATCCCTGCTACTGATTTAGACAGGTATTATGGTCATTACTTTTCACCCCTGTCCTTCTGGGTACTTCTGGTACTTCAGTGGTTTTTACTGATCACCAACACCTAAAGAGGCTGTGCTGCAATCTATAGCTAAATGGAAGACACATTCATCCTTCTCCCTCTGACTGCTTTGATCATCATTTATTGCATCTCATAACTGTAATTTTCCAAAGTTTGGATTGGGACTTTTTAAGTCCTATTTGGAGGGCAAAGGAAGTGCCAGTTTCTCTGGGGAACTTGTTTTTAAATCCAAAGACTTGAACCACATTCCCTGCACATAAACATGTTTGCTTTTATCCCTTCTCTCATTGTCTCCTTCCCATTTTAATACCATTGTAATTATAGATATCTGCTTATTTATTTATTTATTTATTTTGAGACGGAGTTTCACTCTTGTTACCCAGGCTGGAGTGCAATGGCGTGATCTCGGCTCACCACAACCTCTGCCTCCTGGGTTCAGGCAATTCTCCTGCCTCAACCTCCTGAGTAGCTGGGATTACAGGCACACGCCACCATGCCCAGCTAATGTTTTGTATTTTTAGTAGAGACGGGGTTTCACCATGTTGACCAGGATGGTCTCGATCTCTTGACCTCGTGATCCACCTGCATTGGCCTCCCAAAGTGCTGGGATTACAGGCTTGAGCCACTGCGCCCGGCAGTATTTATTTTTTAAAATTTTAAAATGTTTATTTTTGACATCTGTGTTTTTAGAAGGGTTTTACCCGTTTATTTATTTAACATCCAAGAACTGCTGACATACTGTGGATGTAGTGTATAAAACTTGAAAAGTGCAGATGTTGAAGGAATAATAGGTATCTTGTGCTTTAATACTTTATGGCAGGATTGTACTATAAGCAAATGAATTAAACAGATATGTAAATCATAAACAAAAACTAAAAATGAACCAAAGTGAAGAGGATTACTTCCAGGCAGTATCCTTCTCTTGTAACCTGTTATTTAAGGAAATACTAGTGATTTCTTCTAAATAGGATGCAAAACTTTTTTCAAATTACTCTTTCTCGGTCCTGCCTGCCAAGAATTCAAGTGTAATTGTGATAAAATAAACTTTCCCAGGTATATTGGCAGGTATGTGTGTAATCTCAGAATACACAGGTGACATAGATATGGTATGACAACTGGTAATGGTGGATTCATTTACATTGCTTACACTTCTACGACCAGGCCTTAAGGGAAGGTCAGTTTTTTTAAAAAACCAAGTAGTGTCTTCCTACCTATCCCCAGATACATGTTAAAAAAGAAAGGTGTTTGTGCTTCAGTTTGTTTTTGCTCAGTAATTTAGTCAGTGACCCCTTGAGCTGTGTATGCATTTTTATTTCAAATAAAATATATTTGTATTATTTGTCATTCATACTATTCATCCATACCACACTATCTTCTGTATCAGGTAGTCTAATAGAAAGATACCTGTTTTGGCCAGTCGTGGTGGCTTACGCCTAGAATCCCAGCACTTTGGGAGGCTGAGGCGGGTGGATCACGAGTTCAAGAGATTGAGACCATCCTGGTCAACATGGTGAAACCCCGTCTCTACTAAGAATACAAAAATTAGCTGGGCATAGTGGTGCGCGCCTGTAGTCCCAGCTACTCAGGAGGCTGAGGCAGGGGCTGCTTTCCCTTGGACTGAGGAGTACTCATTATGAGTCAGTTAGGCTAGGGACAAAAGAGAGGACACTGGGCCTCCTTTTTTTATTTTATTTTATTTTTTTGAGACTGATTTTCGCTGTGTGACCCAGGCTGGAGTGCAGTGACAGGATCTTGGCTGACTGTAACTTTTGCCTCCTGGGTTCAAGCAATTCTCCTGCCTGAGCCTCCCAAGTAGCTGGGATTACAGGTGCTCATCACTACACCTGGCTAATTTTTGTATTTTTAGTAGAGATGGGATTTCGCCATATTGGCCAGGCTGATCTTGAACTTCTGACCTCAGGTGATCCACCCTCCTTGGCCTCCCAAAGTGCTGGGATTACAGGCGTGAGCTACCAAGCCCTGCTGGCACCTGGTCTTCTTATGGGATATGTAGGAAAGATATGAGAGATAGGGATGGGTGGCTCAATTTAAATTCCCTGTCTGAAGTGACAAGACATTTCTAAATTGAAAACATGGAGAGTAGATCCTGCAAGGCTCGGCATGGGAAGGGTGAGCGGAGCTTAGACACATTTTAAACTCCACAAAGCAACTCAAAGGGGTACTCATGGCATAGACTTGAAAGGGCCCTCTACTTTGGTCAAGCAAAATATTTAACATTAAGCACTTATCAATTTGAAAGGCTGTCTTTTCCCTCGTCTAAGTGCTGGGTGTTGTGCTGTCCTGTCACAGCGGGGCTGACTTCCACCTTCCTTTAGAAGGGCTTGCTTCAATTCTTCTGGTACCTCTCTCTCTCCTTCCTGCTTCATCTTCTGTGTTCCAGCTTCTCCCCACTCCCTGCTCCTCACATTAACCCACAGTTTTTTCCATTACCACACAGAAAAATATGGGTCTCTTGGCCAGGCGCTGTGTCATACGTCTGTAATCCCAGCACTTTGGGAGGCTGAGGCGGGTAGATCACGAGGTCAGGAGTTCGGGTAGATCACGAGGTCAGGAGTTCAAGACCAGCCTGGCCAAAATGGTGAAACCCCATCTCTACTAAAAATACAAAATTTAGTCGGCCGTGGTGGCGGGTGCCTGTAATCCCAGTTACTAAAGAGGCTGAGGCAGGGAATTCCTTGAACCTGGGAGGTGGAGGTTGCAGTGAGCTGAGATTGTGCCACTGCACTCCAGCCTGGGCGACAGAGCAAGACTCCTTCTCAAAAAAGAAAAAAAAAAATGGTTCTCTTTTCCTTCCTGCTTGCCCGTTTATCTGAGAGGATTTTTTTGCAGCCAAAATGGTCCATTAATGCATTTCCTCAAACAAAAGACAGTTCTTTTTCTTGACATTTGTACTACTCTTTTAATCTATGTTGTCCAGCTGTTGCCAGGATAGATTTATTTAAATAAATACAAGGCAAAATAAAGAAAA